TACTGAAGCCAGTTCGGTAGCTTTCACTCGACCTGGGAATTGTGCACAGCCGGCTAAATATAAAGAAACTCAGGACTACAAACGGCGGATTCAGTGGCCAACGATGACTACCACGACGAAGGTAAAATCAACTACATGCACTGGGGTTTTAATCTGCACAATAATGGTCTCAGATGTACTTTTATTTGCTCAGTAGATCAAGCTAGCCATGCTAGCCATAATAGGTTAACACCGGCCCCGAGCTAGCTACATCTAGCTAGCTAGATATTCTCGGCCGCTATGAAAACGTTTTGACTTGTGAATAACTGTGCAGTGTTTCTGTAATTTGCTTCACTAACTCATGGCACTAATCGTCTGTTTCAGGCGAGGCTGGACAACTCTCGGGATTGGAAACAAGCGAGCTTTGCATTCTAGATCACAGCGCTAGCTCGCCCCCCTTACCAGCAACCAAACGCAAAGGTACACACACTGTAACTTTGTCTTGAAAGAACGTTACGCATCGAACTGATGTTCACAATCATGTTTATTTCATAATATTCATCATATTTTATGTTTAACTTGCCTCAACAACATTAAACAAAGTTCAAGCATACATGAAGCACTCTTCAAAAAGGAACAATCCTCCGTGTTTGAACCTCTTAAATCGCTGCATAGCCGATTTATTTGGACTGGATTATCCCAGAGAGGCCAAACATTCTTTATAACACAGTTTCAGATTTGTGAAACCTTAATTCTATTTGTGAAAATACAAAAAAGGGAGATTTCAGTGCTTTTTTTACATGTAGACCACTTTAGACCAGGTCCTGATCTAAAACCACTATACCTAGACTCATCAAATCTGGACTGGATTATCCCAGAGAGTCAAAAGATTCTTTAGAACAGTTTCAGATTTGTGAAACCTTAATTCTATTTGTGAAAATACATTCCTAGTATGTTGTAAAACTACATGGCGACTAAACAGATCTTGTATCTTGCTTATTTTCCCCTCTTAGGAAAGCGGACACGGGATGCGAATTTCTTTGACACCGCCCAGGCGTTGGAGGACCGGCGTGCCGTGGTGAATGAGTCGATGCACGGGGATCAGATGGTGCTGTTCACCAAGGCCCAGGAAACGGAGGACAAGATGCTCACCTCGATGGAGCGCCAGGCAGAAGTGTTCAAGCAGCAGATGGAGCACCAGGATGAAGTGTGGGCGCTGCGCCATGAGGAAGCGTCGGCGCAGCGCCAGGAGCGGCAGCATGAGCGACAAACTGCATTTAATAACAGTTTATTTGGTATAGTTTTTGTAAATACTGACACACGACACACAACTTTGCACAAAGGTGTGTATGCTGCTGAGAATATTACACTTACACTTAATGTGTCTATTAAGTATTATTCATCATTATTACCGAGGCAAATAAAGCACATGCCTGGAAGCAGAGTTGAAAATGGGGTCAGGTTTAGGTCAGTCGTGTTTTGTTCTAACATTGCCTCTGGATAAAATCATCAAGGGTTTGTTAGGAGTACTGGGAGCTGAAATGGCCCATCTCATACACACATTCAGACATCAAATGTCTAAATGCAGCAAATTCTCAGTAAAACGTGAATAAACACACATAACAGGCCTAGTGCACAGGGCTGGTTTGTAGTGTTAGCACTTATGAGCATGCAGACAAAGTGGATGCTTAGAGCACCTCTTTGAAAAGTAACATTTAGGGAAACAACACTTATTTTTAAATTGTGGAAAAGAAAACACAATGTGTTCATGAGATTGATGGACCAGTTTTTGAGTGCTCAAAAATGTCAGCTGTTAAATCCACTGCATAAATGCAACATTACAAAATATTAACTGCAAGTATCTTTTAAAGATCTTTATGTGCCTAGATAGTTGCATTGTGCCTGACACTGGGACACCAGTGGGACAGTTTATTTTATATTGTTATTACTGTTATGACTTTATTTTATATATAATGTTTACTGACATGTACAACTCATACTTTATTTACATTTAAAATTGTTCTATTTAATGTTATGTCTTGAGAGTGCAATAAAGAAAACCGACATGGTGATTAAGCTTATTTCTCCTGACACTTTATCTTTTGTGACCTGTGTAGCATCCTATACATCACATGTAAGTGATTATTCTGATACCATCATGTTTCATCGGTTATAAACTGGCAAAGCTTTATTTGTCATTTATTTATCATCAATGTTGCAACCTTGTGGGGGAATGGCAGGGGCACATACACAAATATGATCATTTATATCATTTTAAATATTATTTGACCTAAACTTTTAATTCCCCCCCATTTCACACAACACAACATGGAGTCCACTATGGGCCAAAACTAACATGTATGTTTGCATAGTGTTTATGGCAGACGGATGCAGTGGGTCTCAGGAAGATATATAATAAAGGTGGGTTTGCTGCTGAGACTCCCTACAGCTGGGAGTTTATTTTATATTGTTATTACTGTTATTATATAGTACAACTGACACTTTATTTTATATTGACAATGTTTACTGACATGTACAACTGACACTTCAGTTACATTTAAAATATTTCTATTTAATGTTATGTCTTGAGAGTGCAATAAAGAAAACCGACATGGCGATTAAACAGATCCTGTATCAGCCATCCTACGGTGAAACATGGCAATCATGTGTGCTTTCCGTCGGCCAATCCTTTTCCTACAGCTTTTGAACTGCCTTTGATGCTGAAGAAACTTTGCGATTATAGCATTCGACGTGTGGCGGCTCCGGATTTTTGTCGGATGCCTAATAGGCTCAGGCCGCATTAACGAAGTTACAAAGCTGTATAACATGAGCACAAACAGCACAACTTCAGTCGACTCCATCTCCATCATGTCTGAGGTCGGAAGGTAAACAACAGACAGTATACGCGGGAAGTTTTTCTTCTTCTTCTTCTCTTGTTTTGTAGCGGATTGCAAACAACTTTAAGGTGCTTACCGCCACCTACTGTACTCGCCGTGAAGTGGTTTGTGGCCTGCCATTAAAGCCAACGCAGAAGAAGAAGAAGTGACGTCAGCGGCTCATTTGCGTAATCTTCCCTCAGGGAAAAGTACTCCGGTGTGAACGCGATCTGTACTAAGTGCCCTGGGGTTAAAAGCGCCGGGGCTCTTAGTGCCGGAACTAAGTACAGGAAAGTACTTGGTGTGAACGCGGCTAATGGAGAAACTCTTCAGACTTGAAAAATCTTCATGCGACTTCAACTGCTAACTGCTCCTTCATACTTTCACTCAGAAACCTCTAACCAACTTTAAAATGTTACACAACTTTCTGACATTATTCGTGTTAAACAACTTTTAAATCTGATTTATACTTTTAGAAATATTAAACATTGTTCAGACCTTGGTAAAGAGGCCTTCTTAAGATTTTAACATTAGTGTGTATTGAGCAGCTCGTTAAGGTGTGTGATCTCAAAGCTAGAGTGGAGGAACAGCTTGAAATTCGCCTTCATATTCTTTTTTAAACCTGCCATAATTCCCAAACCCTACATTCCTGAGACATAATTTGTCATGACAAACGTAGGAAAACATCTCTTACAGTACCTTGAAAAATGGAAAAAAAGTAAGCAAAATAATTAAACAAAATGCCTCTTGAGGGCATGAAGTGACAAAAACGTTCAACATGTCTCCATTAAAGCCAATTGTAAATTCAAGCTGATCTTTCCTCACAGCAGCAGCCGCCCACCTTTAGTTAATCTGCCAAAAAGGCCACATTATTAACCCGAAAGTACACAAAAAGCACACTTCAGATGCTCAACTTCCTTCAGATGCTTCACGCTTTGAAATGTCACCGATACCTGTTACGGTTCTTCAACAAAACGTTCACATGCAAGAGGTTTATCTCTCATTCAGAACAATGGAAACCTTTGATCTCTGGACACCTCGTTAGCTCAACTATAAACACCTGTGTCATGGAACACGATGATGTCATCACTCCAACTGACATGCTCAGAGCAGCAGACTTCAGATAATGGTTAACTCAGCTCTACATCAAATCTGATGTTACGTAATGTGGTGTTACTATGGCAACGCATCCCTCGCCATAAAACAGCAGCAGACTTCAGATAATGGTTAACGGTCCTGCCCTCAACAGCTCTACGTGTCTTCATATGACGTTTCCATGGAACTGCATCCCTCGCCATGAAACACGATGTCGCTGTAACTCCAATGGACACGGTCCGATCGTCCCCCAATCTTCACCTGTATATCACCACTCCATGCCTCAACAGCTCTATGTCAAATCTGACATCTCACCATATGCCGATTCCATGGAAACGCATCCCTCGCCAAAAAACACGATGTCGTAACACCTGTGAAAAGGGTCAAAACGGCACCAGACTTCAGATAATGGTTAATGGTCCAGCCCTCAACATGTCTATGTGCCAATAGTTTCCTCAAAAGCTGTTGCCATGGCAACGCATCCCTCACAATAAAACACGATATTGCTATAACTCCTATGAACATTTTCAAAAAGTGCTCAAACTTCACGTGTGCTAACAGTCCAGCCGTGAAGACATCTACGGGACAGTTTTGAGATTTCTTCAAATGCCGTTGCCATGGCAACATAATGCTCGCCATGAAACACGGTTTTCTCATAATTTCTAGGTTATTAATTTATTTGCTTAATAGTTGCTTAAAATGCTACAACAACATTTGCAATTTGTTTTTAATCTGCCATGTACGGTATCAATGTCTCTCAGCCACCGTAGTGTTGTGTAGGGGGCGTGTCTTGTAGGGGGCGTGTCTTGTAGGGGCATGTCGTGTAGGGGGCGTGTCGTGTAGGGGGCGTGTCTTGTAGGGGCATGTCGTGTAGGGGGCGTGTCGTGTAGGGGGCGTGTCGCGTGTCGTGTAGGGGGCGTGTCGTGTACCGTCTTGCTGCGGCTGCAGCTGGGTGATATTGGCTGTTTTGGTTTTCTGATTCATAGTCAAACGATTTGCTTTGCGTCCGGTGTGAACGCAGCATTACAAACAAAAACCTGGAAAGAGAGATAGAGGTTGGATCATATTTTACTTCATATTGAGAAACATATCACAGTTTTGCACAAATAAAACAAGATTGAATGATTTGGAAACCGAGTGAAAATATATTTTTATTTTCTAGTGTTCATGTTTTCAGGCCAAAACCTAAATAAATTAAACTTTCAACTGCTAGAACTACATTTCCCAGAAAGCACCATGTCCTATAAAGAGAAGACGACCCCCCCGGTGAAGAAGAGAATACATCCACATTTAATAAAAATGGTAAATAAACCTTTTTATTACTATTTTGAGGAGATTCTCTTGTGAAACCCTTTGAGTGCTGACACTGATTAAAGGGTTTTTATATTGGAGATATTTAAAATGACGTCTCTAAGGCACAGGATGAGAAAAATGCATCTTTACTAGAAAGTGTGTGTACCCTGAACGCACCGCGTAGTGCGTTTCGAGGCCGGAATCCACATTTTAGCATCAGAATTTTCAACAGGAACTTTATTTATTTATATTAAATATGACAAGAAAAAAGCATTTGTCATCAGCTGTACAAATACCATTTTAATTTAAATAAGAACCAGTGTGCTCAGGAAGAAGCATAAAAAAAAACAAGCACAGATCACAGAAAGCAAGCCCGTGAAGTGGAGGTGTAACGACACGTTCATTACTAATACACTGGTTTTTGGTTCAGATGCTTTGGTCACTTTTGCAGCTGTACTTCCCCTCTGTTGGTCCGTACCCAAAGGAAATGAAAACATAGTAAATGTTCCTTTAAATCTCTTAGTGTGCAGGCTTCTGGAAACACTACCTATCTTTAATTACAGATGCAGCACGGGACGACGAACCACTCGTGATGAATTAGAGCGGATCGGAAAATAGTGTAGTAAAAATAACAATAATAACAATAATGTTTAAATCACGTAAAACATTTGAGGGACTTTCTCTTATTCTAATTATATTTGGGAATGATGATATTGTAAAAGAAAAGTAATTAAAAATCTGTTTTTGTGAGATGTGCACACACACTTCGTTTCCTTTCAATCATTCATAATACTAATAATTTTAGCAGCAGAATTTACTTTAACCTCAAAAGGAAGTGTTTCAGCGTGTTTGAGTGCCGTTACACCTCCACCCTTAAACCTCCACCCTTACACCTCCACCCTCACACCTCCACCCTTATACATGTGGAGAAGTGGTCAACACCTTCTGAAGATTAAAAAAGAAGAACTGCACGTCTCCTCCATCCTTCGGGGAGAAGAAACCGTCCTAAAGCACGATGGAGGGGGGGGGGGGGGCATCCATCTTGCCCCCAGTTTAACAAAAGTCCAGTCCAATAACCGTCTGTCTTCAGCTCATAGAGTCCTGTTGTGAACTAGGAAATGTTGATACCCCAAAGTGTTATGATAGAAATGTAGAGTAGGGTCTCCAGCTCATAGAAGCTGCTGGATGCTAACCTGCAGATGCTGGGACTTTTGCACAATTAGCATTAGTTGGGTTAACTAGTGTTAATTAGCATATATAGGTAATAGCTTAAAACGTGGCTTGGCCGATTTGGAACATTTTGGGGTTTGTTGAGGGACGCTGAATCAATTCCTGACATCTTCAGGATCAACAATAGCAGTTTTAACCAGAAAGAGGACATATATCTAAACTCTCTGTGGACTGATTAGGATGCATTTTGGGTCATTTTTAAGTTTTAGGGGCCTCAAAACGTTTTAGCTACCGTCTGCATATATGCTATCTAACACAAATTATACTAATTGTGCAAATGTCCAGCATCTGCAGGTTAGCATCCGGCAGGTTCTATGTGCTGGAGACCCTACTCTACATTTCTAATATAAAACTTTGGGGTCCTCAACATTCGTTCACACTGCTGGCAGCTAGACTACAAACCCCCCGAGGCTGGGAGCTTCTTCCAGTCACAGACCAGAGATCCTCCTCCTCCTCACATCAGGAAACTTGACGAGTCAGTGCCATCGATTGTGAGGCTCCTTCCTCTTCCTCATCCTCCTCCTCCTCACCGGTCAGCGGGGCGGGGGAGGTCATACCTCGTGGAAGCAGTCGGAGGGGGGGGGGGCTCCTCTGGGACCCCCTCCACCTCTCCAGCACCTTCACGGCCTCGGAGACGATGCACACGGAGGAAGTGAGGCTCACCAGGAACAGCAGGTCTGAACACACAGGGGAACAAACGGGGGGATTTAACGGGTTAAAAAAAGTCTAAAAACAACTCCATATATTTACACTAAAACACCAACAGGGTTAAGGGTGAGGTGCGGAGTGTGATGGTCTAACTTGAAGTGCGTGGGTAGCTCCGCCTCCCGGGCAACAACGAGGGTTGCTAGGCAAAGTTTAGTGCAGTATTAAATATATGAGCCAGATTTGCCCCAGTTTGTGACTCTCACAACCTCAGACCCAGCGCCTGGATACGGGTCCTGGATACGGGTCCAGGATACGGGTCCAGGATACGGGTCCAGGATACGGGTCCAGGTTCCTGCTGTGCGGACTGAGGCTGGAAGAAGGAGTCTTTTTTATTATGCTCCTTGGTCTTGGAATGACCTTCAATCACGCCTCAAACTGAGGGCACTTGTCTCTATAGCATGTTTTAAATTGAAGTTGTCTGAAGTCCTCACCACCAGCTGCTCTTGCAGTAACAGGTAGTGTACTTTTCTTACTGTCCTAATGTGCTCAATGTAGTGACTGCTTTTTCGTCTTTTGTTCTCTTAGTTATGTTCTCTGTATGTTATATGTATGTGTTTTGTGTAACGTTGCTGCCTTCTTGGCCAGGTCAGCATGAAAATGAGATTTGATCTCAATGCTTTTATCTGGTTAAATAAAGGTTAAAAATACAGCCGTTCCTATGGAGGGTCAAAATGCTGGCTAGATGATGTGACACTGAGGCCATGGGAGACGCTCTGCAGGAACAGTACTGTGGTTGAAGTACCGTAGTATTAGTACAGTAGTATTATTAGTACTGTATTATTAGTACTGTAGTAGTTGTAGTACTGTAGTAGTATTAGTGCTGTAGTAGTAGTACTGTAGTATTAGTACAGTAGTAGTATTAGTACAGTACTAATACTACTACAGTACTAATACTACTACAGTAGTAGTACTGTAGTAGTAGTAGTACAGTAGTAGAGTAGTAGTAGTATTAGTACAGTAGTAGAGTAGTAGTAGTATTAGTACAGTAGTAGTAGTACAGTAGTATTAGTACAGTAGTAGTAGTACAATAGTAGTAGTAGTAGTAGTAGTAGTAGTAGTAGTACTACAGTCAGGGACGGACTGGCCATCGGGACGTTCGGGACGAATCCCGATGGGCCGGTACTGAAGTGGGCCGGTCGGATAAGTCACTAGCACACCCCCCCCCCGTCGACAATTTACTAGCGGTAATTACTTGCGGTACCGAGGTGGGCCGGTCGATAGTCCCGGGCTGATTTGTAGTTCCAGTCCGCCCCTGACTACAGTAGTAGTACTAGTACATTAGTAGTAATACAGTAGTAGTAGTATAGTAATACTACAGTAGTATTAGTACAGTAGTATTAGTACAGTAGTAGTACAGTTTGTTTGTAGCCTTTATTTAACCAGGTGAATCCCATTGAGATCAAACGATCTCTTTTTCAAGGGAGACCTGCAGCAAGTTGGTTACACATGAAAACATAACAGAAAACAAAAAGGACATCATACAACAGTAGTATTAGTACAGTAGTAGTAGTAGTACTGTAGTATTAGTAGTAGTATTAGTACAGCAGTAGTAGTATTAGTACTGTAGTATTAGTACAGTAGTAGTAGTATTAGTACAGTAGTAGTAGTATTAGTACAGTAGTAGTAGTACTGTAGTATTAGTACAGTAGTAGTAGTATGAGTACAATAGTACTGTAGTATTAGTACAGTAGTAGTAGTATTAGTACAGTAGTAGTAGTAGTATTAGTACAGTAGTAGTAGTAGTACAGTAGTAGTAGTATTAGTAGAGTAGTAGTAGTACAGTAGTATTAGTACTGTAGTAGTAGTACAGTAGTAGTAGTACAGTAGTAGTAGTACAGTAGTATTAGTACAGTAGTAGTAGTACAGTAGTAGTAGTACAGTAGTAGTAGTATTAATAGAGTAGTAGTAGTAGTAGTACAGTAGTATTAGTACTGTAGTAGTAGTACTGTAGTATTAGTACTGTAGTAGTAGTACAGTAGTAGTAGTACAGTAGTAGTAGTACAGTAGTAGTAGTACAGTAGTAGTAGTATTAATAGAGTAGTAGTAGTAGTAGTACAGTAGTATTAGTACTGTAGTAGTAGTACTGTAGTATTAGTACTGTAGTAGTAGTACAGTAGTAGTAGTACAGTAGTAGTAGTATTAATAGAGTAGTAGTAGTAGTAGTACAGTAGTATTAGTACTGTAGTAGTAGTACTGTAGTATTAGTACTGTAGTAGTAGTATAGTAGTAGTAGTACAGTAGTAGTAGTATTAATAGAGTAGTAGTAGTAGTAGTACAGTAGTATTAGTACTGTAGTAGTAGTACTGTAGTATTAGTACTGTAGTAGTAGTATAGTAGTAGTAGTACAGTAGTAGTAGTATTAATAGAGTAGTAGTAGTACAGTAGTATTAGTACTGTAGTAGTAGTACAGTAGTAGTAGTATTACAGTAGTATTAGTACTGTAGTAGTAGTACTGTAGTATTAGTACAGTAGTACAGTAGTACAGTATAATTAGTACAGTCGTAGTAGTATTAGTACTGCAGTAGTAGTATTAGTACTGCAGTAGTAGTATTAGTACTGCAGCAGTAGTAGTAGTAGTAGTAGTACCTGTGAAGCTGAGGCTCTCCGTCTGGAAGACGCTCTGCAGGGGGGGGGAAGTAGATGACGAGCAGCTGACCCATGATGGAGCCGAGGACCGAGAAACAGAACGTCCTGTTACTGCAGAAACCCAGCTCATACACCAGGCGAGTCTACACACACACACACACACACACACACACACACACACACACACACACACACACACACACACACACACACACACACACACACACACACACACACACACACACACACACACACACACACACACACACACACACACACACACACACACACACACACACACACACACACACACACACACACACACACACCACACACACACACACACACACACACACACACACACACACACACACACACACACACACACACGTTAATGAAGGTAAAATCAGAGTAAACTAATAACTAATAATAAAACTATAATATATATATATATATATATATATATATATATATATATATATATATATATATATATATATATATATATATATATATATGAAAGAGAAAGAGTGATGTATGAGGAGGAGGAGCATCAGCAGTTACCTGAGAGCGGGAGCTGAGGGCGTTGAACATGTCGAAGAAGACGAAGCAGGTGAAGGTCATCGTCGTGTCTCGAGGAGTGATCACGTTGTCCTGCAACTAAAACACAAAAACACGTCTGAAAATCACGTCCACTCAACTGAGTCTATTTATAGATTTCGGTAACTTAAAAACAACAGTTTTAAAATGACTATTACATTTAAAATCAGTCATTAAAGAGCCAAGATAATAAAAACAAAACAGGTTTAATAAAATATAAATTAAGTCTTCAATATGTGTGTTGCATGCAGCTGCATGCAGCACACATATTTTCCATCAGGCACAGGTACATCTGATCTGGTTTTAAATGTTAGCATATTGTCCTCTTTTACTTGGAAATGTTTGCCTAAAGGCGGCTAATGTTGGGCTATAAAGGAACTACAGCACGGTCACATGACTTCACGTCACCACCGCTAAGCTAAAGGTGGCTAATGTTGGGCTATAAAGGAACTACAGCACGGTCACATGACTTCACGTCACCACCGCTAAGCTAAAGGTGGCTAATGTTGGGCTATGAAGGAACTACAGCACGGTCACATGACTTCACGTCACCACCGCTAAGCTAAAGGTGGCTAATGTTGGGCTATAAAGGAACTACAGCACGGTCACATGACTTCACGTCACCACCGCTAAGCTAAAGGTGGCTAACGTTGGGCTATGAAGGAACTACAGCACGGTCACATGACTTCACGTCACCACCGCTAAGCTAAAGGTGGCTAACGTTGGGCTATGAAGGAACTACAGCACGGTCACATGACTTCACGTCACCACCGCTAAGCTAAAGGAGGCTAATGTTGGGCTATAAAGGAACTACAGCACGGTCACATGACTTCACGTCACCACCGCTAAGCTAAAGGCGGCTAATGTTGGGCTATAAAGGAACTACAGCACGGTCACATGACTTCACGTCACCACCGCTAAGCTAAAGGTGGCTAATGTTGGGCTATGAAGGAACTACAGCACGGTCACATGACTTCACGTCACCACCGCTAAGCTAAAGGTGGCTAATGTTGGGCTATGAAGGAACTACAGCACGGTCACATGACTTCACGTCACCACCGCTAAGCTAAAGGTGGCTAATGTTGGGCTATAAAGGAACTACAGCACGGTCACATGACTTCACGTCACCACCGCTAAGCTAAAGGTGGCTAATGTTGGGCTATAAAGGAACTACAGCACGGTCACATGACTTCACGTCACCACCGCTAAGCTAAAGGAGGCTAATGTTGGGCTATAAAGGAACTACAGCACGGTCACATGACTTCACGTCACCACCGATAAGCTAAAGGCGGCTAATGTTGGGCTATAAAGGAACTACAGCACGGTCACATGACTTCACGTCACCACCGCTAAGCTAAAGGCGGCTAATGTTGGGCTATAAAGGAACTACAGCACGGTCACATGACTTCACGTCACCACCGCTAAGCTAAAGGTGGCTAATGTTGGGCTATGAAGGAACTACAGCACGGTCACATGACTTCACGTCACCACCGCTAAGCTAAAGGTGGCTAATGTTGGGCTATAAAGGAACTACAGCACGGTCACATGACTTCACGTCACCACCGCTAAGCTAAAGGTGGCTAACGTTGGGCTATGAAGGAACTACAGCACGGTCACATGACTTCACGTCACCACCGCTAAGCTAAAGGAGGCTAATGTTGGGCTATAAAGGAACTACAGCACGGTCACATGACTTCACGTCACCACCGCTAAGCTAAAGGCGGCTAATGTTGGGCTATAAAGGAACTACAGCACGGTCACATGACTTCACGTCACCACCGCTAAGCTAAAGGTGGCTAATGTTGGGCTATGAAGGAACTACAGCACGGTCACATGACTTCACGTCACCACCGCTAAGCTAAAGGTGGCTAATGTTGGGCTATGAAGGAACTACAGCACGGTCACATGACTTCACGTCACCACCGCTAAGCTAAAGGTGGCTAATGTTGGGCTATAAAGGAACTACAGCACGGTCACATGACTTCACGTCACCACCGCTAAGCTAAAGGTGGCTAATGTTGGGCTATAAAGGAACTACAGCACGGTCACATGACTTCACGTCACCACCGCTAAGCTAAAGGTGGCTAATGTTGGGCTATAAAGGAACTACAGCACGGTCACATGACTTCACGTCACCACCGCTAAGCTAAAGGAGGCTAATGTTGGGCTATAAAGGAACTACAGCACGGTCACATGACTTCACATCACCACCGCTAAGCTAAAGGAGGCTAATGTTGGGCTATAAAGGAACTACAGCACGGTCACATGACTTCACGTCACCACCGATAAGCTAAAGGTGGCTAATGTTGGGCTATAAAGGAACTACAGCACGGTCACATGACTTCACCTCACCACCGCTAAGCTAAAGGAGGCTAATGTTGGGCTATAAAGGAACTACAGCACGGTCACATGACTTCACGTCACCACCGCTAAGCTAAAGGTGGCTAATGTTGGGCTATAAAGGAACTACAGCACGGTCACATGACTTCACCTCACCACCGCTAAGCTAAAGGAGGCTAATGTTTGGCTATAAAGGAACTACAGCACGGTCACATGACTTCACCTCACCACCGCTAAGCTAAAGGTGGCTAATGTTGGGCTATAAAGGAACTACAGCACGGTCACATGACTTCACCTCACCACCGCTAAGCTAAAGGAGGCTAATGTTGGGCTATAAAGGAACTACAGCACGGTCACATGACTTCACGTCACCACCGCTAAGCTAAAGGTGGCTAATGTTGGGCTATAAAGGAACTACAGCACGGTCACATGACTTCACGTCACCACCGCTAAGCTAAAGGTGGCTAATGTTGAGCTATAAAGGAACTACAGCACGGTCACATGACTTCACTTCACCACCGCTAAGCTAAAGGTGGCTAATGTTGAGCTATAAAGGAACTACAGCACGGTCACATGACTTCACTTCACCACCGCTAAGCTAAAGGTGGCTAATGTTGGGCTATAAAGGAACTACAGCACGGTCACATGACTTCACCTCACCACCGCTAAGCTAAAGGAGGCTAATGTTGGGCTATGAAGGAACTACAGCACGGTCACATGACTTCACGTCACCACCGCTAAGCTAAAGGAGGCTAATGTTGGGCTATAAAGGAACTACAGCACGGTCACATGACTTCACGTCACCACCGCTAAGCTAAAGGCGGCTAATGTTGGGCTATAAAGGAACTACAGCACGGTCACATGACTTCACGTCACCACCGCTAAGCTAAAGGTGGCTAATGTTGGGCTATGAAGGAACTACAGCACGGTCACATGACTTCACGTCACCACCGCTAAGCTAAAGGGGGCTAATGTTGGGCTATGAAGGAACTACAGCACGGTCACATGACTTCACGTCACCACCGCTAAGCTAAAGGTGGCTAATGTTGGGCTATAAAGGAACTACAGCACGGTCACATGACTTCACGTCACCACCGCTAAGCTAAAGGTGGCTAATGTTGGGCTATAAAGGAACTACAGCACGGTCACATGACTTCACGTCACCACCGCTAAGCTAAAGGAGGCTAATGTTGGGCTATAAAGGAACTACAGCACGGTCACATGACTTCACGTCACCACCGATAAGCTAAAGGCGGCTAATGTTGGGCTATAAAGGAACTACAGCACGGTCACATGACTTCACGTCACCACCGCTAAGCTAAAGGCGGCTAATGTTGGGCTATAAAGGAACTACAGCACGGTCACATGACTTCACGTCACCACCGCTAAGCTAAAGGTGGCTAATGTTGGGCTATGAAGGAACTACAGCACGGTCACATGACTTCACGTCACCACCGCTAAGCTAAAGGTGGCTAATGTTGGGCTATAAAGGAACTACAGCACGGTCACATGACTTCACGTCACCACCGCTAAGCTAAAGGTGGCTAACGTTGGGCTATGAAGGAACTACAGCACGGTCACATGACTTCACGTCACCACCGCTAAGCTAAAGGAGGCTAATGTTGGGCTATAAAGGAACTACAGCACGGTCACATGACTTCACGTCACCACCGCTAAGCTAAAGGCGGCTAATGTTGGGCTATAAAGGAACTACAGCACGGTCACATGACTTCACGTCACCACCGCTAAGCTAAAGGTGGCTAATGTTGGGCTATGAAGGAACTACAGCACGGTCACATGACTTCACGTCACCACCGCTAAGCTAAAGGTGGCTAATGTTGGGCTATGAAGGAACTACAGCACGGTCACATGACTTCACGTCACCACCGCTAAGCTAAAGGTGGCTAATGTTGGGCTATAAAGGAACTACAGCACGGTCACATGACTTCACGTCACCACCGCTAAGCTAAAGGTGGCTAATGTTGGGCTATAAAGGAACTACAGCACGGTCACATGACTTCACGTCACCACCGCTAAGCTAAAGGTGGCTAATGTTGGGCTATAAAGGAACTACAGCACGGTCACATGACTTCACGTCACCACCGCTAAGCTAAAGGAGGCTAATGTTGGGCTATAAAGGAACTACAGCACGGTCACATGACTTCACATCACCACCGCTAAGCTAAAGGAGGCTAATGTTGGGCTATAAAGGAACTACAGCACGGTCACATGACTTCACGTCACCACCGATAAGCTAAAGGTGGCTAATGTTGGGCTATAAAGGAACTACAGCACGGTCACATGACTTCACCTCACCACCGCTAAGCTAAAGGAGGCTAATGTTGGGCTATAAAGGAACTACAGCACGGTCACATGACTTCACGTCACCACCGCTAAGCTAAAGGTGGCTAATGTTGGGCTATAAAGGAACTACAGCACGGTCACATGACTTCACCTCACCACCGCTAAGCTAAAGGAGGCTAATGTTTGGCTATAAAGGAACTACAGCACGGTCACATGACTTCACCTCACCACCGCTAAGCTAAAGGTGGCTAATGTTGGGCTATAAAGGAACTACAGCACGGTCACATGACTTCACCTCACCACCGCTAAGCTAAAGGAGGCTAATGTTGGGCTATAAAGGAACTACAGCACGGTCACATGACTTCACGTCACCACCGCTAAGCTAAAGGTGGCTAATGTTGGGCTATAAAGGAACTACAGCACGGTCACATGACTTCACGTCACCACCGCTAAGCTAAAGGTGGCTAATGTTGAGCTATAAAGGAACTACAGCACGGTCACATGACTTCACTTCACCACCGCTAAGCTAAAGGTGGCTAATGTTGAGCTATAAAGGAACTACAGCACGGTCACATGACTTCACTTCACCACCGCTAAGCTAAAGGTGGCTAATGTTGGGCTATAAAGGAACTACAGCACGGTCACATGACTTCACCTCACCACCGCTAAGCTAAAGGAGGCTAATGTTGGGCTATAAAGGAACTACAGCACGGTCACATGACTTCACCTCACCACCGCTAAGCTAAAGGTGGCTAATGTTGGGCTATAAAGGAACTACAGCACGGTCACATGACTTCACGTCACCACCGCTAAGCTAAAGGTGGCTAATGTTGGGCTATAAAGGAACTACAGCACGGTCACATGACTTCACGTCACCACCGCTAAGCTAAAGGTGGCTAATGTTGAGCTATAAAGGAACTACAGCACGGTCACATGACTTCACTTCACCACCGCTAAGCTAAAGGTGGCTAATGGTGGGCGTGATGACGTTTAGTCGTCTCATTTAGACACTTCAGCTTGTGTTAACCACAGACCTTATTTCATGCTAACAACCAAAAACACATTCAGAAAACCATTGACCTCCAGACCAGGAGTAAAATGCTGAGTCAAGACCATGAGTATCGGTGACTTTGTGTTTTCATGACAGATGAAATAAAGAAATACATGAATAATTTGAGAGGGGTCTGGGGTCTGCCTGCAGGCCTCCACTCTCAGGACAGTTCCGGTGTAGGCTCCACTGTCAGGACACCTCCACTCTCAGTACAGGAAGTGACGATTCTGACGAACAAGTTTTTTTCCACGCCCCCCGAAGAACTCGTCTGATGGAAGTTTTCAAATCACAATGGAGATCACAGAGGTGATGAGTCCACTCACCATGCACTTTGGGTCGGCCTTGGTCAAGCCCTTTTGACCCCCCCTCGACAGCCCTAAAAAATATATATCTATCTATATATATAGATATAATAAGTGTCAGTGCGATTTTATTTTGTATTAGCATGCATTTCCTTCTCGGAAAGTGGCGATGTACTGATAGTGGCGATTTTATTTTGTAATTCTTAGCGTGCATGCACTTCCTGTCCTGAGAGTGGAGGTGTCCTGAGACTGGCGCCTGCAGGCAGGCTCCCATGACTAATTTTGACCAATATCTACAGCCCGAAAGAGGCAAGTTGATGAAGAGGAGACGCACCTCCCTCCAGAAGACGAAGAGCGTCCCGCAGACGATGATGAACGCCGACAGCAGCACTTTGCTGAGCAGGGAGCGAGTCAGGATGCTGTCCCGAACATTACGGGGGGGCTGCCGGATCACATCCTGATCCACGGGCTCCACACCCAGACTGAAACACACACACACACACACACACACACACACACACACACACACACACACACACCACACACACACACACACACACACACACCACACACACACACACACACACACACACCACACACACACACACACACACACACACCACACACACACACACACACACACACACACACACACACACACACACACACACACACACACACACACACACACACACACACACACACACACACACACACACACACACACACACACACACACACACACACACACACACACACACACACACACACACACACACACACACACACACACACACACACACACACACACACACACACACACGTCATTTACACAGCCCGATATCACAATAATTTCTCAGGGAGATTAAAAGATCCACACACACACTTTTATTTTTGAAACAATGACTACATTTCCCATGATGCCCTGTACCTCTGAGCGGGGGGGCCGTCCATGATGATGTTGATCCACAGAATCTGCATCGCGTTCAGAGGGTTGGGAAAGTTCATCAGCGTCGCCAAGGAGATGAGCGTCAGAGCAGCAATACTCCTGCAGAGGTGCAACAAATCACTTTATTTAAAGGTCCCCAATTATACTGTTTCTCATCAATATATCCCAAGTCTCAGATATATCCAGAGTAGGGCTGAACGATATGTCGTGTCATGGCGATAACCGCGATATGCGCATGCGCGATATTCACATCGCAGGGACGTGCAATTTTATAAAAATTATTTTTTTAATATATTTTTTTTTTTCATTTATTTTTTTTTGGACGTACGATATTAAAGGTAGGGTAGGTAAGTTTGAGAAACCGGCTCGAGATCGCTAGAATTTGAAAATACACAACCGGAGAAAATCTGCCACTTCCTTATAGAGCCCCTCCTCCAACACACACGAACGCGCACATGACAAATAAGTTTGTGCACAGATGGAAGGCTGACAGGCAGGTAGGCCATCCAGTTATTTTAGCCGGGCCGGCTCAGATGATTGGTCGTGCTTTTTACAGTATTACGGCTTCCACAGATGACATTTTTTTATGGATTTTTTGTCAAAGCACTTCAGATATTCATTGCTATCGGGATGTTAAGAGCATTCCATGGAATATAACAAGTGTATCTGAAATAAATTACATACCCCACCTTTAAGTGCATTTTGCTGATAATAATAATAAAATACTTTAATTTTCACAGTACTTTCACAGTACCTTTACTACATGTAATACATGTTAACATCCTCCCCCACTCTTTGAGTTTGTGATAAACACCCTGCCTGGTGCAGACGGTTGAAAGCGTCAGAAGGAAGTGAGTAATGCCTGCTGTGGTTAACGCTGAGACATGTAGCCCTCAAACAGCGAGGGGCACGGAAACTAAACACAGTTGGTGGTGAACGCTCTGCAGCAGAATCATGCCAGCCTTCATCCTCATGACCTTAATAAGCCCACTTTCAGTCAATTCAAGTTCTAAATAAGTACATCATATATATATAGTATTTAATCGTGTCATATTTTTCTAAGACGTTTTAAGGTTAAAGTCCCGATGTGACATTAATGTCCCAGCGATATTTATCTCATTTGTTTCATATCAATTTGATCATCTAGCTAGTTCTGTCACATGACCTGGCACATGGACATCTTGGACATGTTGTCATGGGAACACAAAGTCACATGACCCGGCCCAGGCCCCCCCGGACTGTGCAGGGCGTGTCACTGAGGGACTAAAGCTGAATAAGGAACTCTCCAGAACATGTAAATGTCCCGTATGTGTCTCCGTGGGTTCTTAGGGGTTAAAAGACGATGTCTCTAAAGCTTAACGTTAGGGCTGGCTCAGGACCTTATTTTAATTTAAGTTGTCATTTGGATCGTCTGTGTTTTACTGTTGTGTCACTCACGTGCTCAGCTGGAAGCGCACAAAGTTTTTGATGTTGTTATAAATTCCCTTTCCTTCCTCGATGGCCGACCTGGAAGTGAAGAACAGAACGGGAGTCTTTAATAACAATACATTACATTTGTATAGCGCCTTTCAAGGGACCCAAGGCCGCTTTACATGGTGAACAAACAAACAAGAGGGGCAAATAATAAAGTACAAATGTAATAAATAGCAGCAGGAGTGGAAGCTGTGATGGGTTAGGGGTCAAAGGCAGAGAGGGCAAAGGTACACATCCTTTACTCAAGTAGAAGTACAGAGAACTTTGAAATGTACTTCAGTAAAAAGTACCCATAACTAGCAGCTGCTTTAAAGAGTACCTGACCTCCCTTTATATTAATAGAACAATAATGTCATTGTTAGCTAATGAATGTTTCCATGCTGAACAACGGCAACATGACAACGTTTTCATTGGTCCCTCTTCTTTAGAGAAGACCAGGAAATGATGGATACACGGATCGTGTTCAAATCAATAGGCACGCAATGACTCTAAATAATAATGATCACGCCACCAAACACACATTCAAACTAAAGGAACCAGCCTGTTTGGGAAATGTGAGAAGTAGAGAGTACAGGTATTTGTGTTCAAAATGTAAGAAGTAGAAAGTACAGGTATTTGGGTTCAACATGTAAGAAGTAGAAAGTACAGGTATTTGGGTTCTACATGTAAGAAGTAGAAAGTACAGGTATTTGTGTTCAAAATGTAAGAAGTAGAAAGTACAGGTATTTGGGTTCAACATGTAAGAAGTAGAAAGTACAGGTATTTGGGTTCTACATGTAAGAAGTAGAAAGTACAGGTATTTGTGTTCAACATGTAAGAAGTAGAAAGTACAGGTATTTGTGTTCAACATGTAAGAAGTAGAAAGTACAGGTATTTGGGTTCAAAATGTAAGAAGTAGAAAGTACAGGTATTTGGGTTCAAATAGTCAAAGTAAAAAGTCGTCAGAAAAATAAGTAGTGGAGTAACGAAGTATTTGTACTCCACTACTTCCCCCCTCTGGTCAAAGGCCATTGTTCCTGCATGATTAAATAACAGTTGTATCCCCCGGCTCCTCACATGATGGTCTGGAAGTCGTCGTCCACCAGGATCATGTCGGCCGCCTCCTTGCAGACGTCGGTGCCGGTCCGACCCATCGCCACGCCGATGTCGGCCGCCTTCAGCGCCACGGCGTCGTTCACCCCGTCTCCCGTCATGGCCACCACGGCGCCGATGTTCTGCAGAGACTACAGGGAGAAGGACGCAAACACACACAGCGGGACGTATTGTTGAGCCTTAAAGGGTTTCTGTATGCTGGGAAACAGTCATCTGACCGGCTGTGTCAAATGGGTGTAATGACGGTGTAATGACAGTGTAATGACGGGGTAATGACGGGGTAATGACGGTGTAATGACGGTGTAATGACGGGGTAATGACGGGGTAATGACGGTGTAATGACGGTGTAATGACGGGGTAATGACGGGGTAATGACGGTGTAATGACGGGGTAATGACGGTGTAATGACGGGGTAATGACGGTGTAATGACGGGGTAATGACGGTGTAATGACGGTGTAATGACGGTGTAATGACGGGGTAATGACGGTGTAATGACGGTGTAATGACGGGGTAATGACGGGGTAATGACGGTGTAAATGACGGTGTAATGACGGGGTAATGACGGGGTAATGACGGTGTAATGACGGGGTAATGACGGTGTAATGACGGTGTAATGACGGCGTAACATGGGTTTAATAAGGACGTAATTACGGTGTATAACAGTGTAATATTGGTCTGACATGGATGTAATAAATATGAATGCGTAATGTTGGTGTAATTGTAATTATCTTGTCAAATGGGTATAATAACGGTGAAATGACAGGTGTAATAAGGCTTTAATACAGATGTAATAGGGGTGTATTACAGTGTAACATGGGTTAAATAAGGGTGTAATAAGAGTGTAATATTGGTGTGACATGGAAGTAACAAGGTTGTATTAATGTTGGTGTAATCATCTTGTAAAATGGGTATAATAATGGTGTTATGACGGTGTAATATATGTGTAATACAGGCTTAATAGAGGCTTAATACAGGTGTAATAACGGTCTTACATGGATGTAATAAAGTGTGTATTAATGTGTAATAGGGGTGTAATGTAGAAAATAGCATCAACTATTTTTCAATGCATGTGATTTCCCATTCAAGGGTAAAAGTGTTTTTATTTGTTGTATTCTATTTAAAGTAGATGTTGGCTGGTTGATATGAAGAAAGCTAGCTATCTCTATATTACTAACTGGATACCTGGACATTGGGCTCGTCATAGGGCAGATATGAATGGATAAGAGTTAGTCTTTGTGTCCTCCTGCTCACCTTGACGATCTTCAGCTTGTGTCGGGGACTGGCTCGATAAAACACGGCTATCTGTGAAGACAGGAGACGACTTTCATTCAGAAAAACACAAAACAAGAAGCTGGAGGACAAACTGAGAATATCTTCATTTCTATTTGATAAATGGTAAATGGACTGTACTTATATAGCGCTTTATCCAGTCTTTAAGACCCCTCAAAGCGCTTTACATACTACATGTCATTCACCCATTCACACAGAGCAGTGTACCTTACTCTAGGAACTAACATTCACACAGAGCAGTGTACCTTACTCTAGGAACTAACATTCACACAGAGCAGTGTACCTTACTCTAGGAACTAACATTCACACAGAGCAGTGTACCTTACTCTAGGAACTAACATTCACACAGAGCAGTGTACCTTACTCTAAGATCTAACATTCACACAGAGCAGTGTACCTTACTCTAGGAACTAACATTCACACAGAGCAGTGTACCTTACTCTAGGAACTAACATTCACACAGAGCAGTGTACCTTACTCTAGGAACTAACATTCACACAGAGCAGTGTACCTTACTCTAGGAACTAACATTCACACAGAGCAGTGTACCTTACTCTAGGAACTAACATTCACACAGAGCAGTGTACCTTACTCTAGGAACTAACATTCACACCCATTCATACAGAGCAGTGTACCTTACTCTAGGACCTAACATTCATACAGAGCAGTGTACCTTACTCTAGGACCTAACATTCACACAGAGCAGTGTACCTTACTCTAGGAACTAACATTCACACAGAGCAGTGTACCTTACTCTAGGAACTAACATTCACACAGAGCAGTGTACCTTACTCTAGGACCTAACATTCACACCCATTCATACAGAGCAGTGTACCTTACTCTAGGAACTAACATTCACACAGAGCAGTGTACCTTACTCTAGGAACTAACATTCATACAGAGCAGTGCACCTTACTCTAGGAACTAACATTCACACAGAGCAGTGTACCTTACTCTAGGACCTAACATTCATACAGAGCAGTGTACCTTACTCTAGGAACTAACATTCATACAGAGCAGTGCACCTTACTCTAGGACCTAACATTCATACAGAGCAGTGCACCTTACTCTAGGACCTAACATTCATACAGAGCAGTGCACCTTACTCTAGGAACTAACATTCACACAGAGCAGTGTACCTTACTCTAGGACCTAACATTCATACAGAGCAGTGCACCTTACTCTAGGACCTAACATTCATACAGAGCAGTGCACCTTACTCTAGGAACTAACATTCACACAGAGCAGTGTACCTTACTCTAGGACCTAACATCCACACAGAGCAGTGTACCTTACTCTAGGAACTAACATTCACACAGAGCAGTGTACCTTACTCTAGGACCTAACATCCACACAGAGCAGTGTACCTTACTCTAGGAACTAACATTCACACCCATTCATACAGAGCAGTGTACCTTACTCTAGGAACTAACATTCACACCCATTCATACAGAGCAGTGTACCTTACTCTAGGAACTAACATTCATACAGAGCAGTGTACCTTACTCTAGGAACTAACATTCACACCCATTAGCCGCGTTCACACCGGAGTACTTTTCACCGTACTTTTCGCGTTTAGTTCCGTGAGTACCCCTTATGTTGCGTTCACACCAAAAATCGTACTTAATCTCGGGTACTTTTACCCCCATTTTTAGAGCCGGCTGAGAGAGCGTACTTTCCTGAGGGTGCAAAGTGCCCCAAAAGTGCCCCAGTGCTGATTGGCTGGGCGAATTGCAAACCACGCCCTTACAACTGTGAAAAATGTTGTGTGGAGACGCCATTGTTTTCCCTCGCTACAAAATCCCAACGCACCGACGGAGCGTTGGGTTTGTTTTTGAAAGCAGTTATGGCAAGCATCAAGAAATGATGAGGAGGTGTCGGCGCTTCTGGAGATCTACGCCGAGGACGCGACCCAGGGAAAGCTACTGAAGCCAGTTCAGTAGCTTTCACTCGACCTGGGAATGTGCACAGCCCCACGGCACACACCGGCTAAATATAAAGAAACTCAGGACTACAAACGGCGGATTCAGTGGCCAACGATGACGACCACGACGAAGGTAAAATCAACTACATGCACTGGGGTTTTAATCTGCACAATAATGGTCTCAGACGTACTTTTATTTGCTCAGTAGATCAAGCTAGCCATGCTAGGCTCCGAGCTAGCTACATCTAGCTAGCTAGATATTCTCGGCCGTTTTGACTTGTGAATAACTGTGCAGTGTTTCTGTAATTTGCTTCACTAACTCATGGCACTAATCGTCTGTTTCAGGCGAGGATGGACAACTCTCGGGATTGGAAACAAGCGAGCTTTGCATTCTAGATCACAGCGCTAGCTCGCCCCCCTTACCAGCAACCAAACGCAAAGGTACACACACTGTAACTTTGTCTTGAAAGAACGTTACGCATCGAACTGATGTTCACAATCATGTTTATTTCCTTCTTGGTACAATTATGAAACAGCGTGAAAACGTATTCGCCAAGACCGGCATTTACAAATGTCTCTCACAAACATTGTAAACATCCGGGCTAGAGGTCACATGACTTCCGGTACGAAAACTTGCCTCAACAACATTAAACAAAATTCAAGCATACATGAAGCACTCTTCAAAAAGGAACAATCCTCCGTGTTTGAACCTCTTAGTAACAACCATCGTGTTTCAGAGACACGTCAACTCTTCAGAAATCACCAGTGGGGTCACTGCTGATGGATTTAATGTCGTAGAACAAAACGTGATCCGTCTCTTCAATTTGTCTCAACCACAGACCTTATTTCAAGCTATCTTCCTAAATCCTATGGAGAGATCCCATTGGCTCTGAGACGAGGGAACAGGAAGTGGTGAAATGCTGACTCACTTCCTGGTTTTAGGCCAGATCCTGATCTAAAACCACTATACCTAGACTCATCAGATCTGGACTGGATTATCCCAGAGAGTCAAAAGATTCTTTATAACACAGTTTCAGATTTGTGAAACCTTAATTCTATTTGTGAAAATACAAAAAACACATTCCTAGTATGTTGTAAAACTACATGGCGACTAAACAGATCTTGTATCTTACTTATTTTCCCCTCTTAGGAAAGCGGACACGGGATGCGAATTTCTTTGACACCGCCCAGGCGTTGGAGGACCGGCGTGCCGTGGTGAAAGAGTCGATGCACGGAGATCAGATGGTGCTGTTCACCAAGGCCCAGGAAACGGAGGACAAGATGCTCACCAGTTCATTTTATATTATTGTTATGACTGTTATTATATAGTCTTGATACAACTGACACTTTATTTTATATTGATAATGTTAATTTACATGTACAACTTCTATTTTATTTACATTAAAAATGTGAACTTCTATTTACTGTTAAACAGATCCTGTATCTTGCTTATTTCTCCTGACACTTTATCTTTAGTGACCTGTGTAGCATCCTATACATCACATGTAAGTGATTATTCTGATACCATCATGTTTCATCGGTTATAAACTGGCAAAGCTTTATTTGTCATTTATTTATCATCAATGTTGCAACCTTGTGGAGGAATGGCAGGGGCACATACACAAATATGATAATTTATATCATTTTAAATATTATTTGACCTAAAACTAAATGTTTTTATGATTGTCCTCTGAGGAGGACATGGGGATTTGCAAACCTTTAATTCCCCCCCCCCATTTTACACAACACAAAATGGAGTCCACTATGGGCCGAAACTAACATGTAGGTTTCCATAGTGTTTATGGCAGACGGATGCAGTGGGTCTCAGGAAGATATATATATACTAATAAAGGTGGGTTTGCTGCTGAGCCTATTTACTGTGCATACAACACACCTGGCACAGTTTATTGTTATTATATTGCCACACTGTACACTATTGTAATGTTGCCTGTCTTGACTGGAAAATAAAAGAGAAACATTGTCAAAATGTTTACAATTCACACGCTGTTCAGATGCCTCATAAAGCTGGGTCGCCGGTAAGGCAGTCCATTCGTCCCTGTACTCATTACTTTCACAAAGGTTATGTAATATGCAACATGCTGCCACCTGGAATGTGATCTTGTCCATCTTGCAGTCGTTTCTTTTCATCAAGCACCGCCACCTGCCCTTCAGTCTGCCAAAAGCGTTCTCCACCACCACTCGTGCTCGGCTTGTTTTGTTATTGTACGCAAGTTGCTCAGGCTGCATTAACTCAGTTACAAAGCTGTATAACATGAGCACAAACAGCACAACTTCAGTCGACTCCATCTCCATCATGTCTGAGGTCGGAAGGTAAACAACAGACGCCTAATGTACAGCGAGTGGGTGGGCGTCGCAGTATACGCGGGAAGGTTTTCTTCTTCTTCTCTTGTTTTGTAGCGGATTGCAAACAACTTTAAGGTGCATACCGCCACCTACTGTACTCGCCGTGAAGTGGTTTGTGGCCTGCCATTAAAGCCAAAGAAGAAGAAGAAGAAGTGACGTCAGCGGCTCATTTGCGTAATCTTCCCTCAGGGAAAAGTACTCCGGTGTGAACGCGATCTGTACTAAGTGCCCTGGGGTTAAAAGCGCCGGGGCTCTGAGTGCCGGAACTAAGTACAGGAAAGTACTTGGTGTGAACGCGGCTATTCATACAGAGCAGTGTACCTTACTCTAGGACCTAACATTCACACACCGTTGGCCATCGGGAGCAACTCAGGGTTAAGTATCTTGCCCAAGGACACATCGACATGTTGACTGCAATCGAGGCTGGGATCGAACCCACAACCTTCTGGTTGAAAGACGACCGCACTCCCTCACAGCCACAGTCGCCAGTCGATAACAACCGGTTTGAGAGGATACAAGTGTGAATTACCGTAATGACCCGAATATAAGACGACCCTCTGTCTCAACTCATTTGAACCTTTTTGAAGACCAACTCTTGTTTTTATAAAGAAAATAATTGTATTTGAAAATAATGATATCACACATTGTGTTCAAATGTGAAGTCTTCCTCGCTGCCATCCGTTGTATTTGATACGCAGCATTTCCTGAACCCCTTTATGATGCTCTCTCTCTCTCGTAACTTCACCTCTCTTGTTTAATAGCTTGCCCAATAGATATATATAGAGCGGTGCAGGGAGGACGTGTTCACCCTGAAGGAAGCTGCTGTTCCCTCCACAAAAAAGCAACGGGATTTCTCCAGAGGATTTTGGAAAATAGCTGGAAATAATGTCTGTGGAAAACGAACCTGTTTGATAAATGCACGTTTTGTTCAGCGGGATCATCTCCACATGTCTACCCTACTTTTATAATGTTCTAATCATAAATCTAATGGCCAGAAGCAAAATGCTAACGTGATGCTATAAAGGAACTACAGGCGAGTCCAGCAGCACGACTTCAACGTCACGCCAACTTAAGATCCATATTCAAACATACAGATTCTAAATGGTACGAGTTGAAGCGTTTGTTTGAACAGTTAGCAGGAGGCAGGTACTTGCTTTCAAGCAGAACAGGGCAAACAAACTTAGAGGAGTGTTTACGTGTTCGGCGTAATGACGTACAACGGCCTCCACGACTTCTGTAGTCCTATTCAGCCACTTGGTAACAACCATCGTTTTTCAGACACGTCAACTCTTCAGAAATCACCAGTGGGGTCACTGCTGATGGATTTAATGTCCTAGAACAAAACGTGATCCGTCTCTTCAATGTGTCTCAACCACAGACCTTATTTCCAGATATCTTCCTAAATCCTATGGAGAGATCCCATTGGCTCTGAGACCAGGGAACAGGAAGTGGTGACATGCTGACTCACTTCCTGGTTTTAGGACTCGTCACTGCACCACTCTATTTAGATCCACTGTGTTGGAGCTGGTCTCTGTGTCTCTCCATCTCTCTCTCTCTCCTGGTGTCTTGTTACTTTAAGACGGTGTCTCTGGACACTCGTTTGGCGCCATCTGTTGTTGTGACTGTGTAATTACATCAAAAAGTCTAGACCCCGGATATAAGACAACCCTCTTTTTCAGATTTTCTTCTAGGAAAGAAAACCCGTCTTATATTCGGGTCAATACGGTCTTAAAGTAAAGAGTTGTTCTCACCCTGGAGACGATGTTGGAGAGCTGCTGCAGGTCCAGGTTATCCACCTCGTCTCCGGAGAGACAGCGGCTGCCTTTAGAGTACAGACCCAGACGACTGGCTGCAGAGAAGGGAACACTCCGGTTATTCCAGTTTTATCATATTTTATTTAGGAGTTCTGACCTTATAGTCCTCATGTTGAGGACCCCTAAGTGTTATGATAGAAATGTACAGTAGGGTCTCCAGCTCATAGAAACTAACCTGCAGATGTTGGGAGATTTACACGATATAAATAGCATATGTTGCATTAATTAGCATATGCAGATAATAGCTAAACAACTAGTCGATTTCTGACATGTCTAGGATCTTAAATGGTGTCGAGTCCCGTAACACTTTAAAAATCGAACAGAAAAGATGATTGATTGTTTGTTTCTCTGACCGATGGACACGGCGGTCTCCTGCGAGTCCCCGGTGATCATCTTGATGGCGACCCCGGAGTTGATGAGCTTCCCGATGGCCTCTTTGACCCCTGACCTCGGGGGGTCGATGATTCCCACCAGACCCAGGAAGGTCAGGCTGCCCAGCTCCGAGCCGGATGCAAACGCCAGCACTGCAGGAGAGAAATATGGAGAACGTGTGTTTTCAAGGCAGAAATAAGAAATAAAACATTCAATATTTTTACATCACATTGAGTGGATTTCTACATCTGTAAAAATAGCTTTTAATCAACAGGTTTCCGAGACATTTGTTGTAAAATTCAAACCGTTTCCAGCCCCTTACAGCAGTGGGAAGTACACTTAAATAAATGACGTGTTTTTAAATATCACAGTACCATGATATTGTATTAATTTATTATTATATGTATTTACCCCTGAGGCCTGCAGAGCCCATGTAGCTGATCTGCTGCTGGTACAGCTCCCTCTGCTGGGGGGTCAGGGGCAGGCTGGACCCCCTGCTGTTGTAGCAGCTGCAGAGACGGATCACCTGCTCGTACGCCCCCTTCAGGAAGTACACGGCAGGCTTATCCTGGAGGGGCAGAAGATATAACGAGGTAAGAGTCGGGGCAGGACTGTTGGGAAAATCCTGAGCGTCCTCTTCCAATATGAGAGTAACATGATAACAAAGGAGTACAGTGTGTTCTGTGCTCTGAGTGGAGGAGGCTGACCTGCAGCGTGCGGTGAACGCAGCGCACAGACATCCACTTCTGCTCCGAGGAGAAGGGAAGCTCCTCCAGACGCACAAAGTCCTGCTGCAGACCCTCCAGACCCATCTGACACACACACACACACAATATGATCAAACTTGCTGAATCAGCGGCTTAAATGTGGTGTTTTTAAATAAATAAAATTGACATCGTCAGAGAAAAATCAAACATACGTAGACTTGTGTCAAACAAAGAGGCAAGCGCACGTTAATGAAGATACAATCAAATCAAGAAGTAACAACTATAACATTTGAAATTGCAGCATCAGAAAACAACGATAAGATTTAAAAAGATTGTTGAATTCAATTGAAATTAAAGAACTTGAGAAAATAAATGTAAAAGTTTGAGAATAGAAAAAGAAATGAGAAAATGCTGGTGAAAATAAAAAGTGTGTGTGTGTACCT